ATGGACCAATTTAACATTTATGCCAAAAAAATATACAAAATCATTTTACTATTTTCCTTAGATTTTGGATGTAGATTGAATAAATTCCCTTTGATGCTTTGGTTTGAATTGTTGTGTTCATATCATTTGAGTTTAAGGTAATTTTAGAATTGGGGTTTTATTCAAATTGCTTTTTAACTTTGTTTTGTTTGAATTCACTGCCTACTTCTGCAAAATGGATTACAATAATAATCGTGTTGTCACTTTGATGCATTAGTTGAACTGATTTGAATGGCTATCGGTTAACTTTATCAACATTTTTATTGAAAATTACCTTCCCCTCACATGTTAGTAAGTTGACATTTGGGATTCCATTTGTCCTTATGTTGACATCAACCCTCTCCATAAATAAGAATTTGTTCATGCCTACTATGTTCTCGCACAAGCTAAAGCCTTCATCTTCTGACATCAAATTGCAATTTGTGAGTTGGGATTTTCAATTCTATTAAGCCAAGTCCATTCCTAAATCATATTGATAGAACATTCGTTTTGTTTGCTGTCATGATGCGTGGTGCATAACATTACTATGGATTGTTGGAATTTTACAATTTTATGGAATTGATACGGTGTGAATAAGAATGATTTTTATGCAAGTTTTTTGTCAAGTTAATACACCCAAGAGAAAAAAAAAGTTTCCACTTCATCTATCAGAGGATCAGAATGATCTGCAGTCATATTTTCTAACCTTCAGCTCCATAGGAAAACCACACCACCTCCGAATGCATTTGGCGGGGTTTTTTTGTTCTTACAAAGGTTTGCTCCATGTGATTGTTTGTTGCAGGCTTCGGACCCCGTGGAGGAGCCAATGGATTTGAAAGAAATTGAATCAGTAGGAAATGGTGAAGAATTTGATGTAAGTGATTCTTATCTCCTAGACAGTAAACGTAGTAGGGTTTCGGAGCACTTCAAACTGTAGGCGGGTTCATATGAATATTTAGTAGCAATATTCTGTTAAACTTAATTAACTAAACAAGATTAAACATGAATCACAATCTAATAAGAGCCAACCAATATTGTCTATGAGATAACTTTAGAAGAATGGCATACCTGCAGAAGTCCCTGAACTAGAAACCATGGTGCTGAACTTTCAGTGAACCTTCTCTTCTCTCACAGATGATCAAGACCTCGACTTGCAAATAGGTTTAAGCCTTAATATGAGTGTGTGTTCTGTGAGAAGAGAGGCCACCATATATATACATATAGTCTTTTCCATAACAGATAGTATTCCCTATTAAAATCCCTATAGGAAACAAATACTTGTTTCCTTGTTCCATAAGAACTAATCTCAATGCTACACAAAATCCTTCTTGTCAAGGATCAGCATTCCTCTTATTAACAAGACTTTTCTATCAAACTGAATACATATAGCCGATCCCAAAACTACTCTACCTCAAACTCATATTCTTACATTCTCCCACTTGAGTATGAGAACAATTTCAAGTACTCAACTTATTCAATTGTTTTTAGATAGAAGTGATCACTAAGTCTGTTAACAAAAGTACCCAATCACAACCAATTCATATACATCTCAAAATGTAGAACTCTGTAACTTTATTGCAACCATAATGCAAAACATCTTTCAAGAATTACATACATTCAATTTATTGTGAACTTGATGATCAATATCAGCAAATAAGTAAAGTAGCATGAAACAGTTCTTGGATCCAGTTTCTTCTCATTTGGATTGTAAATTCGAGCCTCATCCCCAAACATGAAAATGATCAAAGCTAGGCTTTCTTTCACTTCAGATTTTGAAATGTGTTGATGAAACTGCTTTACAAGGAACTCGATTCAATATATAAGTTGTTGTCTTCAATGCGTCTCCCCATAGAAATCTAGGTAGTTTTGACCTTGTCATCATACTCCTTACCATTCCAATCAAGGTTTTATTTCTCCTCTCTAAAACTTCATTTTGTTATGGTGTTCCAAGTGTGGTGTATTAAGCCACCAGCCAAAGTACTCTCCTCCTCTATCCGATCTAACAATCTTAATGATCTTTCCTAATTGTTTACTTCAGTTTTATAAATTTTGAAACAATCAAGGACTTATGACTTCTCACTAATTAATTAAGTGTAACAAAATCTTGAGAAGTCATCAATGAAGTTAACAAAATAAGAGTTAGCACATATGGTTTTAGTTGGAAAATGACCACAAATGTCAGTGTGTATAATTTCCAGCAAATCATGACCTCTTTTAGCATCCAATTTCCTAAAATTAGTCATTTTTCCCTTGACACAATCAACACACTCAGTTGCAGTAACAAAATTCAATTCAGGAATTAACTTAACTTTGGACAACTTTAAAACTCTTTCTTTGAATATGTGTCCTAACCTTTTGTGCCAAAGTATGAAGGAATCATCATTGCAGTGCATCCTCGTAGTGCTTATGTTTAAAGCATGTTGGTTATTAGACTCCAAAGTACAATTTAAACACCACAAGTTGTCACTCAAGTATGCAGTTCCCAAAACACAATCTTGGCGGTTCTTTTCAAAAAAAATTAAACACTCAACATCACCTAGAAAAGCAAAACCATTTTTGGCAATTTTAGAAGCAGAGATCAAATTCCTGCTCATCTTTGCCACATAAAGCACATCATTTAATTTTAGTATAAAACCAGAAGACAATCTTAAGCTTACCATTCCAATAGCTTCTACTGCAACCTTAGTTCCTTCACCTACAAAGACATTATAGTTCTTAAAACCAGTTTGTTTTGATGTCATAAAACCCTCTAAAGAATTTGTAATGTGGACTGAGCAACCAGTATCAAACCACCAAGAATTCACAGGAATTTCAATCAAATTTGACTCAACACAAACATTAACTTGTTCTACACCCTTACTTTTAAGATAGTCCTAGAAAACTAGACAATCTTTCCTTAAGTGTCCTTTAATTTTGCGAAAAAAACATCTAAGTTTAGCAATATTTTTCGTTTTAACCCTAAGATTTTTAGATCCCTTAATAAAGTCATTTACTTTAGCAAATGGAATTCTTACCAGAGTGTCCAAAGGATGAATTGATTGCCTTTTTCCCCATTATCAGGTTGCACAAAATTCACCATTTCTGCATCATTTCCGCTTTCTTGCTTTTGTCTAGTCCCTTTTTGAACGCATTGTGCTATTAGCTCATTGACATCTCAGTTATTGTCCTGAGTATTATAAGACACCTTTAACTGAGTGTATCTACTTGGAAGAGCTTGAAGGATCATAAATACCAGTTGTATCTCACCAACGTTGACATCTAGAGAATTCAACTTCTCAGCTACATCAGTTATTCTCATGGTGTGGTCTCTGATGGAACTAGTGCCTTCAATTTTGTATGTGGTAAGCATTGCCATGTATTGACTGATTTATGCCTTTTGAGACTCTTTGAACTTCTTCTTAATTGCTTTCAAATAGTCAATAGCCAATTCATGCTTCTTGATCCCACCTCGAACAGTATCAATCATGGCACTTTCAAGTATGGAAAGTGCCACTTTGTTAGCTCTGACCCATCTCTCTGCATCAGCTTTCTTAGCCCTAGTGCTTTGATCAGTCAAAACTGGCTTGGGAGTGTCAAGTGCTATGTCAAATTCATTAAGTGTCAACAAGAGTCCAATCTCTCGTCTCCACTTCTTGCAGTTGCTTCCCCCTGTGAGAATGGGAATGTAAGCCAAGTTCATAGTTCTTAATGATATTGCAGATGCTGTAGAAGTCATAAAATCACAAATATGAACTTATTAGTTCCTGATTTCATTTCAACATCCTTTTGCACATCATGACTTTACTCACAAACTCATACATATAGTCTTAACAACAATTTGTTGATAAGCATATGTAGAATAAATGATATAACAAGAACTCAGTCAACATGTTGCAGTAATCATGTATCCTCAGACACCGGATGAATTAATCATACATGTTATATATAATGAATAGATTCAAAAGTTATCAAAGTTAAATCAAAATCCAAAATTGTATTCAAAACCGATATCTCTAATATGTTTCTCACTGCAGCAATTCTCTGTGGCAATTTATTAATACAAACTGCAGCTGCAAAGCATATTCATATGCACTAAAACATACACAGGTAATTTGAGAAAATCAAAAGCGATCAACATGCCTTTTAATCACTGATTTCAAATTCACGAAGAGAACATCGGAAGCGATTTAGAATTTGAAAACAGAAGGTTTTATTACTTAAAGGAAAAACCCAGATCGTTGTTCATGAGGAGAACTAAAACTAACTCTAATCTGGGAAAACCCTCATTCGGCAATGGTTTAGGGGTTCCAACGGTTAAATTTTCAGTTTAATCTTATAAAGCTTTTATTTTGTCGTTTTCCACCGCCGCTTCTTTTACAATCTCCAGAACCAGACTTCGATTCTCCATAAGGCCAAGATTTTTTTTATTTTTTATTATTATTAGAATGAAAACACAAACGTTTGATCTCTACAGATTGAACTCGTGTTTATATGTCTTGTGGCTCTGATACCACATGTTAGACTTAATTAATTAAACAAGATTAAACATGAAGCACAATCTAATAAGAACCAACCAATATTGTCTATGAGATAACTTAAGAAGAATGGCATACCTGCAGAAGTCCCTGAACTAGAAGCCATGGTGCTGAACTTTCAGTGAACCTTCTCTTCTCCAGCAGATGATCAAGAACTCGAGTTACAAATAGGTTTAAGTCCCAATATGAGCTTGTGTTCTGTGAGAAGAAAGGCCACCATATATATACATGTAGTCTTTTCTATAACAGATAGGATTCCCTATTAAAATCCCTGTAGGAAACAAGTACTTGTTTCTTTGTTCCATAAAAACTAATCTCAATGCTATACAAACCTTCTTTGTCAAGGATTAGCATTCCTCTTATTAACAAGACTTTTCTATCGAACTGAATACATATAGCCGGTCCCAATACTACGTACTCTACCTCATATTCTTACATATATTCGAATCAATGCAGATAACGATCTCAGGAGGTAAAATGGAAGGCGTCCATGAAGCTCCACATGACGTAGAAAACCCCAAGGATCCATTACAAGAGGAGCTGGATAACTTGTCAACCCTGTCCCCTTTACGGTGTATCTATAGAGTTCCCAAGCGACTGCGGCGGGTACATGAGAAAGCATATACACCTCAAGTAGTCTCTATTGGCCCACTTCACCATGGCAAGGAACATTTAAAAGCCATGGAAGAGCACAAAAAATGGTACCTGCGACATTTTCTAAGCCGAACCAGGGAAAGGGTAAGCTTTTCTGATTATATACAAATGATAAAGGACCAAGAGGGAAGGTTGCGAGGTTCTTATGCAGAACCCATTGAGTTTGGCAGTGATCAATTTGTAAGAATTGTTTTAGTGGATGCCGCCTTCGTCATTGAGTTCTTATTGAGGTGCCGTGACTCAAATTGTGAAGGTGATGATTACATATTTAACAACCCTATGATGAGATGGGATGTGCTTCCAGATTTGCGGTTGCTTGAAAATCAGCTGCCATTCTTCATTCTTCAGGTTCTTTTTAATACACTTTCTTCTTCTGCACATCCACGGCCTTCGTTACTTGAAATTTCCTACTCCTTTTTCGAAAGCCAAATTGTTAGAAAGGGAAAAGAAGAGGGTTTTAATGAAATATGCTATACTGAAGAAGTACAACATTTTGTTGATCTGATAAGAATTCTATACCGACCGTTCAAATCACAAACTAGAAGGGAACTTAAAACCACAGCCGTACCCAATGCGGCAGAGCTACTCCAGGCTGGAGTCAAGTTTACGGTCGGAAAAGGCAGCAATTTATTTCACATTAAATTCTCGGATGGCATCCTCAAAATTCCGACGTTAATAGTAGCCGATACCACAGATCTGACACTCAGAAATCTCCTTGCTTTTGAACAATGCCATAAGAGAGAGGAGGATTGCCTAACTAGTTATGTTTTCCTCATGAAGCGTCTCGCGAAAACCCCAAAGGATGTGGAATTGCTTGTTGAGCATGGAATTATTGAAAATTGGCTAGGCAGTACCAAGAAGATATCTACTTTGCTTCATGACCTTGGCACTGGGATGATACTTGACTACTACTGTTATGCCCCTCTTTGTGAAGATCTGAACAGCTACTGCGGAAAACGCAGGCACAAATGGATGGCAAATTTGAGACAAAATTATTTTAACACGCCTTGGTACATTATTTCTGTTGTTGCAGCTGTTATTCTCCTCATACTCACTTTCATACAAACTGTGTGCACTGTTATATCTGCTGCTTAAGCATAAACGACCGCAAGTCTCTACTTCTCCGGAGGATCCACAAGTCTCTGCTTCTTCGGAGGATCCGCAAGTCTCTCCTTTGCCGTATCCTCCGTATCCTTAGAAGTCTAGCCTAGTCTTTGAGACGGTACAGAGTTTGCATTAGCAATCTCAGGTTTCCTTGAAGTGAGTGTAATAGATGTTCCAACAAAATAAAGGTTTGAAGAGTGTGGATTTATATTTGATAGGGAAGTGGCTACTTGTAATGATTTTCATTGAAGTATGTGATTTCCGCAGGCCTTTTTCTCATCTGCACTTTTATATTTTCGGGCGTTAGATTGAATAAACCTTGTATATTTAAAACCAAAGCAATATTATTCAACAAATTAATGTGTTACACATATGCATGTTGGAGATGAAACTCCAAACAAGGAACAACCTCCTCCATCACATGCTAACAATTTTTATTCAAAATATGATATGAAATAAATCAATATCCTAGTGTTGAAAAAAGCTCAACAGTAGCAATGGCATACAGGACCAGAGCTAATATTTTTGCAGAAACCTCCTTTTTCACAATCTGCAATGCAGAATTCCGAGCACTTTCCATTTTTTTTACCAGGCACACATTCTCCTAGCTCGGGGTGATTATTACAGCACCTTGAAGCTTGAGCAATTGAAATCTTGCAAACTGAAATCACAATCAAATTACTAATTAATTTAAAATGATTAATTATTGAAAAAACATGGAAAATGCAAGGAAGTGACACCAGCAAATAAAAACAAAAATTAAAAAAATATTTATATTAGAAATCAACTTACTGCAAAACCTAGTACTATTGATAAAATATTAGGAAAATAAACTAAAAAAAAAACATGCCAAAAGCTTGCATGGATGTTTAGACCATATAAAACTGAAATATATAGTAGGGTATGTGTTTGTTTAGAAGTGTTTTTAAAATAATTGAAAACGTTTTTTGTGAAAATATTTTTAGAACCAATTCTTAGTAAAAATGCAAGTAAATCATGAAAAAACATTTAAAGTGTTTCCTAAAAGAAGCGCATAAATGGTGCTTCTTACATAAAACACTTTAAGTGCTTATGAAACCAAAATTTTTTTTTCTCTAGAAATGTTTTTTAGTTATGTTAAAAGCACATCTAAACGAGTCTTATTTTAGTCATAGAAAGCAAAAAGGCTACCCAAAAATAAATATGATTCAACATAATTGAAACGGACCTGTGGAGCTTGACAAAAGCACCAACACAACACAAGGAGGAAAGATGAGATACTTACTCATCTTTTCTTTTTAAATTTTCACTTCTCTTGTGTTTTGATCTTTCACTTGTTGCGTTGAAAGGTTTGGAGAATTTGTAAGATCTCATATCGTCCATGGATGAGGATCCTGTAAGTCTTATATGTATATTCTCATCTCTACCTAGTACAAGGCCTTTTGGAAACTCACTGGCTTCGAGTTTCATGAGAACTCCGAAGTTAAGCGAGTTCGCGAGAGAGCAATCCTAGGATGGGTGACCCATTGGGAAGTTGCTCGTGAGTTCCCAGAAACAAAACCGTGAGGACATGGTCAAGGCCCAAAGCGGACAATATCGTACTACAATGAAGTCGAGCCCTGGATGTGATGAGACCGGGCTAGGATGTGATGGAATGTGTAATTTATAGAGATTCGAAGACAATAATGATATTTGGGTATTAAAGCATAATTAAAATTGTGAGTCCAAGAAATAGGAAAGTCTGATCGTTGGTACATATATAGGTTATGAATATAGCAACGTATCCAGCCATTGTATTTTATTGGAAATAAATCCCAAGATTTGGAGATATTATTTGAAACAGTACACGCACAAGATCATCAAAAAAATTTTGAACAAGGTTACGAATGTATCAATAATTCCAATCATTTATTTTTCTTGGAAATAAATCCAACCATTTAAAGACATTATTTGAAACAATACATGCACGAAGGTTTTCATGATCAACAAAATTATTTTATTTTATTTTTTTTCCTAAAAATAAGGATAACTGGTGGCAAATCACGGTTATTCATCCTTGTCAAACCCGTAGAGGTTATTGGGAATTTCATCGTGCCCTTAGCCATGATCATGCAGACTCTAATGTGTGTACCAAAATGTAAATACCAAAATGCATGTATATTTTTGTATCGATGAATTAATGTACCTATATGTTTGTATCAAGGGATATACCGAAATATTCAAATGTATTAATGTACCTAAATGAAGAACATACAAAATTGTTATCGGACTATATATTATAAAAAAAATTAGTTGCCTAAATGTAGACATTAAAATATATTATGATAAATGAAATGAAAAAATTAAATTTAAATGTAATTAATACATTAAAATAGGAATTAAAAGATAATTAAAACATCAAAATATAACTAATAAATGAGATGATTAAATGTACTAAGGACTAAAATTGGATTTTAATCTTACACAAGATTATAGTCTAAAACTCATCTTTTTTAAGGATTAAAATAAAGTTTTCTATTTCAATATTTAGTTGCAATATTCCACAAGAACTCCGAAGGCGTCTGGCGGGGTATTTTTTGTTTCTTTCTTACGTCTGCTCCAACTATCTTAATTGAATGTGTGCCTAATGAAATATTTGAATCAATGCAGATAACGATCTCAGGCGGTAAAATGGAAGGAGTCCATGAAGCTCCACATGACATAGAAAACCCCAAGGATCCATTACAAGAGAAGTCGGATAACTTGTCACCCCTGTCCTCTTTGCGGTGTATCTATAGAGTTCCTAAGCGACTGCGGCGGGTAAATGAGAAAGCATATACACCTCAAGTAGTCTCTATAGGCCCACTTCACCATGGCAAGGAACATTTAAAAGCCATGGAAGAGCACAAAAATAGGTACCTGCGACATTTTCTAAACCGAACCAGGGAAAGGGTAAGCTTCTCTGATTACATACAAATGATAAAGGACAAAGAGGGAAGGTTGCGAGGTTCTTATGCAGAACCCATTGAGTTTGGCAGTGATCAATTTGTAAGAATTGTTTTAGTGGATGCCGCCTTCATCATTGAGTTCTTATTGAGGTGCCGTGACTCAAATTGTGAAGGTTATGATTACATATTTAACAACCCTATGATGAGATGGGATGTGCTTCCAGATTTGCGGTTGCTTGAAAATCAGCTGCCATTCTTCATTCTTCAGGTTCTTTTTGACACACTTTCTTCTCCTGCACATCTGCGGCCTTCGTTAATTACTTGAAATTTCCTACTCCTTTTTGGTAAGCCAAATTGTTAGAAAGGGAAAAGAAGAGGATTCCTACGAAATATGTTCTACTGAAGTACAAGTACAACATTTTGTTGATCTTATAAGAATTCTGCACCCACCGTTGAAATCAAAAACTAGAAGGGAACTTAAAACCACAGCGGTACCCAACGCAGCAGAGCTACTCCAGGCTGGAGTCAAATTTGAGGTAGGAAAAGGCAGCAATTTATTTGACATAAAATTCTCGGATGGCATCCTTGAAATTCCGACGTTAATAGTAGCCGATAACACAGATCTGACACTCAGAAATCTCCTTGCTTTTGAACAATGCCATAAGAGAGAGGAGGATTGCCTAACTAGTTATGTTTTCCTCATGAAGCGTCCTCGCGAAAACCCCAAAGGATGTGGAATTGCTTGTTGAGCATGGAATTATTGTTAATTGGCTAGGTAGTACCAAGAAGATATCTACTTTGCTTCATGACCTTGGCACTGGGCCGGATGATGGTTGACTACTACTGTTATGCCCCATCTTTGTGAAGATCTGAACAGCTACTGCGGAAAACGCAGGCACAAATGGATGGCAAATTTGAGACAAAATTATTTTAACACGCCTTGGTCCATTATTTCGGTTGTTGCAGCTGTTATTCTCCTCATACTCACTTTCATACAAACTGTGTGCACTGTTATATTTGTTGCTTAAGCATGAACGACCGCAAGTCTCTCCTTCTCCGGAAGATCCACAAGTCTCTGCTTCTCCGGAGGATCCATAAGTCTCTCCTTTGCCGTATCCTCCGTACCCTTAGAAGTCTAGCCTAGTCTTTGAGACGGTCCAGATTTTGCATTAGCAATCTTAGGTTTCCTTGAAGTGAGTGTAATAGATGTTCCAACAAAATAAAGGTTTGAAGAGTGTGATTTTATATTTGATAGGGAAGTGGCTACTCGTAATGATTTTTCATTGAAGTATGTGTTGTAAATAAAATGAAGTGATTTCTGCATGCCTTTTTCTAATCTGCACTTTTATATTTTCGGGTGTTTGTAGATTCATTAAACCTTGTATTTTTAAAACCAAAGCAATATTATTCCACAATTGATGTGTTACACATATGCATGTTGGAGATGAAACTCCAAACAAGGAACAACCTCCTCCATCACATGCTCACAATTTTTATTCAAAATATAATATGAGATAAATCAATATCCTTGTTTTGAAAAAAGCTCAACAGTAGCAATGGCATACAGGACCAGAGCTAATATGTTTGCAGAAACCTCCTTTCTCGCAATCTGTAATGCAGAATTCATGGCACTTTCCATTTTCACATTTTCCTTGCTCGGGGTGATTATTACAGCACTTTGAAGCTTGAGCAATTGAAATCTTGCAAACTGAAATCACAATCAAATTACTAATTAATTATTGAAAAAGCATGGAAAATGCAAAGGAAGTGACCCGAGCAAATAAAAACCAAAATTAAAAAATATATATATTAGAAATCAATTACTGCAAAACCTAGTACTATTGATAAAATATTAGGAAAATAAACTAAAAAAAAAAACCATGCCAAAAGCTTGCATGGATGTTTAGACCATATGAAACTGAAATATATAGTAGGTTATGTGCTTGTTTGAAAGTGCTTTTAAAATAATTGAAAGCGTTTTTTATGAAAATATTTTGAGAACCAATCCTTAGTAAAAATGCAAGTAAATCATGAAAAAACACTTTTAAGTGCTTTTGAGATCAATTTTTTTTTCTTCTCTAAAAACGCTTCTAATCATTTTAAAAGTACTCTAAACGAGTCTTATTTTAGTCATATAAAGCAAAACGGCTACCCAAAAATAAATATGATTCAAGATAATTGAAACAGACCTGTGGAGCTTGACAAAAGCACCAACACAAGGAGGAAAGATGTGATTGTAAACTTATTCATCTTTTCTTTGTAAATTTTCACTTCTCTTGTGTATTTGCTCTTTCACTTGTTGCGTTGAAAGGTTTGAGAGAATGTGTAATTTATAGAGACTCGGAGACAAGAATGATCTTTGGGTATTAAAGCATAATTAAAATTGCGAGTCCAAGAAATAGGAAAGTCTGATCGTTGGTACATATATAGGTTATGAACATAGCAACGTATCCTGCCATTGTATTTTATTGGAAATAAATCCCAAGATTTGGAGATATTATTTGAAACAGTACACGCACAAGATCATCAAAACAATTTTGAACAAGGTTACGAATGTATCAATAATTCCAATCATTTATTTTTCTTGGAAATAAATCCAACCATTTAATGACATTATTTGAAACAATAAATGCAAGAAGGTTTTCATGATCAACAAAATTATTTTATTTTATTTTAATTTTTCCTAAAAATAAGGACAACTGGTGGCAAGTCAGAGTTATTCATCCCTTCCAGATCCGTAGAGACTATGGGGAATTTCACCCTGCCCTTGGCCATGGTCATGCAGACTCAAATGTGTATACCAAAATGTACATACCGAAATGCATGTATATGTTTGTATCGATGAATTAATGTACCTATACGTTTGTATCGAGGGATATACCAAAACATTCAAATGTATTAATGTACCTAAATGAAGAACATACAAAATTGTTATCGGACTATATATTATAAAAAAAAAAATTAGTTGCCTAAATGTAGACATTAAAATATATTATGATAAATGAAATGAAAATTAAATTTAAATTTAGATGTAATTAATACATTAAAATAGGAATTAAAAGATAATTAAAACACCAAAATATAACTAATAAATGAGATGATTAGATATACTGAGGACTAAAATTGGATTTTAATCTTACACAAGATTATAGTCTAAAACTCATCTTTTTTAAGGAGTAAAATGAAGTTTTCTATTTCAATATTTAGTTGCAATATTCCACAAGAACTCCGAAGGCGTCTGGCGGGGTTCTTTTTGTTTCTTTCTTACGTCTGCTCCAAGTATCTTAATTGAATGTGTGCCTAATGAAATATTTGAATCAATGCAGATAACGATCTCAGGCGGTAAAATGGAAGGAGTCCATGAAGCTCCACATGACATAGAAAACCCCAAGGATCCATTACAAAAGAAGTTGGATAACTTGTCACCCCTGTCCTCTTTACGGTGTATCTATAGAGTTCCTAAGCGACTGCGAAGGGTAAATGAGAAAGCATATACACCTCAAGTAGTCTCTATAGGCCCACTTCACCATGGCAAGGAACATTTAAAAGCCATGGAAGAGCACAAAAAAAGGTACCTGCGACATTTTCTAAACCGAACGAGGGAAAGAGTAAGCTTCTCTGATTATATATAAATGATAGGGGACAAAGAGGGAAGGTTGCGAGGTTCTTATGCAGAACCCATTGAGTTTGGCAGTGATCAATTTGTAAGAATTGTTTTAGTGGATGTCGCCTTCATCATTGAGTTCTTATTGAGGTGCCGTGACTCAAATTGTGAAGGTTATGATTACATATTTAACAACCCTATGATGAGATGGGATGTGCTTCCAGATTTGCGGTTGCTTGAAAATCAGCTGCCATTCTTCATTCTTCAGGTTCTTTTTGACACACTTTCTTCTCCTGCACATCCGCGGCCTTCGTTACTTGAAATTTCCTACTCCTCTTTTGTAAGCCAAATTGTTAGAAAGGGAAAAGAAGTGGATTCTTACGAAATATGTTCTACTGAAGTACAAGTACAACATTTTCTTGATCTTATAAGAATTCTACACCCACCGTTGAAATCAAAAACTAGAAGGGAACTTAAAACCACAGCGGTACCCAACGCAGCAGAGCTACTCCAGGCTGGAGTCAAATTTGAGGTAGGAAAAGGCAGCAATTTATTGACATAAAATTCTCGGATGGCATCCTTGAAATTCCGACGTTAATAGTAGCCGATAACACAGATCTGACACTCAGAAATCTCCTTGCTTTTGAACAATGCCATAAGAGAGAGGAGGATTGCCTAACTAGTTATGTTTTCCTCATGAAGCGTCTCGCGAAACCCCCAAAGGATGTGGAATTGCTTGTTGAGCATAGAATTATTGTTAATTGGCTAGGTAGTACCAAGAAGATATCTACTTTGCTTCATGACCTTGGCACTGGGCCGGATGATGGTTGACTACTACTGTTATGCCCCTCTTTGTGAAGATCTGAACAGCTACAGCGGAAAGCGCAGGCACAAATGGATGGCAAATTTGATACAAAATTATTTTAACACGCCTTGGTCCATTATTTCTGTTGTTGCAGCTGTTATTCTCCTCATACTCACTTTCATACAAACTATGTGCACTGTTATATCTGTTGCTTAAGCATGAACGACCGCAAGTCTCTCCTTCTCCGGAGGATCCAAAAGTCTCTCCTTTGCCGTATCCTCCGTACCCTTAGAAGTCTAGCCTAGTCTTTGAGACGGTATAGATTTTGCATTAGCAATCTCAGGTTTCCTTGAAGTGAGTGTAATAGATGTTCCAACAAAATAAAGGTTTGAAGAGTGTGATTTTATATTTGATAGGGAAGTGGCTACTCGTAATGATTTTTCATTGAAGTATGTGTTGTAAATAAAATGAAGTGATTTCTGCATGCCTTTTTCTAATCTGCACTTTTATATTTTCGGGTGTTTGTAGATTCAATAAACCTTGTATTTTTAAAACCAAAGCAATATTATTCCACAATTGATGTGTTACACATGCATGTTGGAGATGAAACTCCAAACAAGGAACAACCTCCTCCATCACATGCTCACAATTTTTATTCAAAATATAATATGAGATAAATCAATATCCTTGTGTTGAAAAAAGCTCAACAGTAGCAATGGCATACAGGACCAGAGCTAATATGTTTGCAGAAACCTCCTTTCTCGCAATCTGTAATGCAGAATTCATGGCACTTTCCATCTTCACATTTTCCTTGCTCGGGGTGATTATTACAGCACTTTGAAGCTTGAGCAATTGAAATCTTGCAAACTGAAATCACAATCAAATTACTAATTAATTATTGAAAAAGCATGGAAAATGCAAGGAAGTGACCCGAGCAAATAAAAACCAAAATTAAAAAATATATATATTAAAAATCAATTACTGCAAAACCTAGTACTATTGATAAAATATTAGGAAAATAAACTAAAAAAAAAAACCCATGCCAAAAGCTTGCATGGATGTTTAGACCATATGAAACTGAAATATATAGTAGGTTAGGTGCTTGTGTGGAAGTGTTTTTAAAATAATTGAAAGCGTTTTTTATGAAAATATTTTGAGAACTAATCCTTAGTAAAAATGCAAGTAAATCATGAAAAAACACTTTTAAGTGCATTTGAGACCACCAATTTTTTTTTCTTCTCTAAAAACGCTTCTAGTCATTTTAAAAGAACATCTAAACGAGTCTTATTTTAGTCATAGAAAGCAAAAAGGCTACCCAAAAATAAATATGATTCAACATAATTGAAACAGACCTGTGGAGCTTGACAAAAGCACCAACACAAGGAGGAAAGATGTGATTGTAAACTTATTCATCTTTTCTTTGTAAATTTTCACTTCTCTTGTGTATTTGCTCTTTCACTTGTTGCGTTGAAATGTTTGAGAGAATGTGTAATTTATAGAGACTCGGAGACAAGAATGATCTTTGGGTATTAAAGCATAATTAAAATTGCGAGTCCAAGAAATAGGAAAGTCTGATCGTTGGTACATATATAGGTTATGAACATAGCAACGTATCCAGCCATTGTATTTTATTGGAAATAAATCCCAAGATTTGGAGATATTATTTGAAACAGTACACGCACAAGATCATCAAAACAATTTTGAACAAGGTTACGAATGTATCAATAATTCCAATCATTTATTTTTCTTGGAAATAAATCCAACCATTTAATGACATTATTTGAAACAATAAATGCACGAAGGTTTTCATGATCAACAAAATTATTTAATTTTATTTTTTCCTAAAAATAAGGACAACTGGTGGCAAGTCAGAGTTATTCATCCCTTCCAGATCCGTAGAGACTATGGGGAATTTCACCCTGCCCTTGGCCATGGTCATGCAGACTCAAATGTGTGTACCAAAATGTACATACCGAAATGCATGTATATGTTTGTATCGATGAATTAATGTACCTATATGTTTGTATCGAGGGATATACCAAAACATTCAAATGTATTAATGTACCTAAATGAAGAACATACAAAATTGTTATCGGACTATACATTATAAAAAAAAAATTAGTTGCCTAAATGTAGACATTAAAATATATTATGATAAATGAAATGAAAATTAAATTTAAATGTAATTAATACATTAAAATAGGAATTAAAAGATTATTAAAACACCAAAATATAGCTAATAAATGAGATGATTATTAAAACACCAAAATATAACTAATAAATGAGATGATTAGATGTACTAAGAACTAAAATTGGATTTTAATCTTACACAAGATTATAGTCTAAAACTCATCTTTTTTAAGGATTAAAATGAAGTTTTCTATTTCAATATTTAGTTGCAATATTCCACAAGAACTCCGAATGCGTCTGGCGGGGTTCTTTTTGTTTCTTTCTTACGTCTGCTCCAAGTATCTTAATTGAATGTGTGCCTAATGAAATATTTGAATCAATGCAGATAACGATCTCAGGCGGTAAAATGGAAGGAGTCCATGAAGCTCCACATGACATAGAAAACCCCAAGGATCCATTACAAGAGAAGTTGGATAACTTGTCACCCCTGTCCTCTTTGCGGTGTGTCTATAGAGTTCCTAAGCGACTGCGAAGGGTAAATGAGAAAGCATATACACCTCAAGTAGTCTCTATAGGCCCACTTCACCATGGCAAGGAACATTTAAAAGCCATGGAAGAGCACAAAAAAAGGTACCTGCGACATTTTCTAAACCGAACGAGGGAAAGAGTAAGCTTCTCTGATTATATATAAATGATAGGGGACAAAGAGGG